ATTCAGGACCATAGAGTTGTCTATAGTTTGGACTATGGAGTTGTCTATAGTCAGGAGAATAGAATTGACTATAGTCTGGACTATAGAATTATCTATAGTCTGGACTATAGTAATGTCTAAAGTCTGGACTATGGAACTGTCTATAGTCTAGAATATAGAACTGCCTATAGTCTGAACTATAGAACTGTCTATAGTCTCGAATATAAAACTGTCTATAGTCTGAACTATAGAATTGTCTATAGTCTGGAGTATAGAACTGTCTATAGTCTGGAGTATAGAACTGTCTATAGTCTGGACTATAGAACTGTCTATAGTCTGGACTATAGAACTGTCTATAGTCTGGACTATAGAACTGTCTATAGTCTGGACTATAGAACTGTCTATAGTCTGGACTATAGAACTGTCTATAGTCTGGACTGTAAAACTGTCTATAGTCTGGACTATAGAACTGTCTATAGTCTGGACTGTAGAACTGTCTATAGTCTGGACTATAGAACTGTCTACAGTCTGGCCTATAGAACTGTCTATAGTCTGCACTATAGAACTGTCTAAAGTCTGAACTATAGAACTGACTATAGTCTGGAATACAGAACTGACTATAGTCTGGACTATAGAACTGACTATAGTATGGACTATAGTAATGTCTATAGTCTGGACTATGTTAATGTCTATAGTCTGGACTATAGTAATATCTATAGTCTGTACTATAGTAATGTCTATAGTCTGGACTATAGTAATGTCTATAGTACGGACTATAGAACTGTCTATAGTAGGGACTATAGAACTGTCTATAGTACGGACTATAGAACTGTCTATAGTACGTACTATAGAACTGTCTATAGTCTGGACTATAGAAGTGTCTATAGTCTGGACTATAGAACTGTCCATAGTCTGGATAGAACTGTCTATAGTCTGTACTATAGAACTGTCTAAAGTCTGAACTATAGAACTGACCATAGTCTGGACTATGGAATTGACTATAGTCTGGACTATAGAACTGACTATAGTCTGGACTATAGAACTGACTATAGTCTGGACTATAGCAATGTCTATAGTCTGGACTATAGTAATGTCTATAGTCTGGACTATAGAACTGTCTATAGTCTGGACTATAGAACTGTCTATAGTCTGGACTATAGAACTGTCTATAGTCTGGACTATAGAACTGTCTATAGTCTGGACTATAGAACTGCTAAAGTCTGGACTATAGAACTGTCTACAGTCTGGACTATAGAACTGTCTATAGTCTGGACTATAGAACTGTCTATAGTCTGGACTATAGAGCTGTCTATAGTCTTGACTATAGAACTGTCTATAGCCTGGACTATAGAACTGTCTATAGTCTGGACTATAGAGCTGTCTATAGTATGGACTACAGAACTGTCTATAGTCTGGACTATAGAACTGTCTATAGTCTGGACTATTGAACTGTCTATAGTCTGGGGTATAGAGCTGTCTATAGTCTGGACTATAGAGTTTGCTATAGACGGGACTATAGAACTGTCTATAGCCTGGGATACTCAGCTGTCTATAATCTGGACTATAGAGTTGTCTATAGTCTGGACCATAGAGTTGCCTATAGTTTGGTCTATAGAGTTGTCAATAGTTTGGACTATAGAGTTGCCTATAGTTTGGACTATAGAGTCTAAAGTCTGATATATAAAACTGTCTATAATCTGGACTATAGAACTGTCAATAGTCTGGACTACATTTCCGTAAACCAAAGCCTACTTTTAGGATTTTTCAAACAAATTTTTTTTTTTTTATAATTACAATTCTTTTACAAAGTATGTAAAATCTTAATTGCTGAGAGCAATAAAAATAATTTAAATAAAAAGTATGCAAAACTACTTTGGAACCCTTACGATATCATTCAATCATTTCTAAGATTGAAATTCTCATTCAAAACATGTATTACTTTGTAATCAATTTCATATAAATATTTATACATATTTTTTTTTAAAGAATATAAAGAAAGACTAGTATTTAGTTATGTAGTTTTTTTTTTTCAAATTTCCATTCTTTAATTTCAATTGCCATTAATGTTTCTGATTTAATTACGATTGGTTGTCAATTGATTGGCATGATGCAGACCAATAAATTAATGATTGTTTTGTATTTGTCTGTATATAAATACATATTTTTATTTATTTTATTTCTACATATTTTTTTCAACCATTTTTGTTTAAAAATTCAAGTTAAATTAAATGAACAAAAAATTAAAACAAAAACAATGTAGTCATACATACAAACATATGTAGCCGCTACAGCAGCAGCAGCAGCTCATAAGCAAGCAGTTTACATTTAATCGTTGAGATACTTTATAACAAGTATCTCAACAGTAGCCGGGTATGGTTAACGCCTTTTGCTTTTGGGGGTAACAAAAAAAAAAAAAAAAAAAAAAAAAAAAAACTCACAAATATCAACAACAATATTAACGCTTATAAATTATATAAAAACATTTTATAAAAACAATTTACAGAACTTTAGTTATTTTGTTTTTTAAATATCAGATATTCGTGTGGAATATTTTATAAAGTTAGACGAAAAACAAAAACAAAAACAAAAATTAAGAATTGAGTAAGAAATTAAAATGCGTACAACCCGCATTTACAAACAAATGTTTTGTTGATGATCATTCTTCACATTATTATGATGACAATAAAAATTAAATTAATTTTTATTAGTTTTATTACCAAACTAAAAGTACACTTAGCAAAAATAAAGTGTTAAATGTAAGGGTCTTATAAGTGAAGGGGTTTCTCCTCTCTCTCTTAGTTTGTTATTGTTTCGTTTAATAATTTTCTTTGGGTGTATTGAATGAAAAAATTAACTTATTTAATTGAGAATGTGTATGTGTGTAAATGCAAGATTATAAGGGTTTTAAAAAAATTTCAATATTATATTTTCACAGTTAAATTTATGTTGAAAATTTGTAGAAAACACGATATCTAACGATTATCGGTAGTTTGTAGTAATTAATTTTAATTTCTTTTTTATTTTGGGTGAAAACTGTTCATTTAATTTGGATTTTGTAAAACGAAAAACAGAAGTTTAGAAGAGGGTTATAAAACACTTATTGCTGTAAAATTGGTTATATTAATTAAATAATTAGAATAGTACTACTGTCAACAAAAAGACTTAGTCAAAATCATAGACTCGGCTACAGTTTAATCTATAGTCGAGTCTATAGTCTAGTCTATAGTCTAGTCTATAGTCTAGTCTATAGTCTAGTCTATAGTCTAGTCTATAGTCTAGTCTATAGTCTAGTCTATAGTCTAGTCTATAGTCTAGTCTATAGTCTAGTCTATAGTCTAGTCTATAGTCTAGTCTATAGTCTAGTCTATAGTCTTGTCTATAGTCTAGTCTATAGTCTAGTCTATAGTCTTGTCTATAGTCTAGTCTATAGTCTTGTCTATAGTATAGTCTATAGTCTAGCCTATAGTCTAGTCTATAGTCTAGTCTATAGTCTAGTCTATAGTCTAGTCTATAGTCTAGTCTATAGTCTAGTCTATAGTCTAGTCTATATTCTAGTCAATAGTCTAGTCTATAGTCTAGTCTATAGTCTAGTCAATAGTCTAGTCTATAGTCTAGTTTATAGTCTAGTCTAGTCTAGTCTATAGTCTAGTCTATAGTCTAGTCTATAGTCTAGTCTATAGTCTAGTCTATAGTCTAGTCTATAGTCTAGTCTATAGTCTAGTCTATAGTCTAGTCTATAGTCTAGTCTATAGTCTAGTCTATAGTCTAGTCTATAGTCTAGTCTATAGTCTAGTCTATAGTCTAGTCTATAGTCTAGTCTATAGTCTAGTCTATAGTCTAGTCTATAGTCTAGTCTATAGTCTAGTCTATAGTCTAGTCTATAGTCTAGTCTATAGTCTAGTCTATAGTCTAGTCTATAGTCTAGTCTATAGTCTAGTCTATAGTCTAGTCTATAGTCTAGTCTATAGTCTAGTCTATAGTCTAGTCTATAGTCTAGTCTATAGTCTAGTCTATAGTCTAGTCTATAGTCTAGTCTATAGTCTAGTCTATAGTCTAGTCTATAGTCTAGTCTATAGTCTAGTCTATAGTCTAGTCTATAGTCTAGTCTATAGTCTAGTCTATAGTCTAGTCTATAGTCTAGTCTATAGTCTAGTCTATAGTCTAGTCTATAGTCTAGTCTATAGTCTAGTCTATAGTCTAGTCTATAGTCTAGTCTATAGTCTAGTCTATAGTCTAGTCTATAGTCTAGTCTATAGTCTAGTCTATAGTCTAGTCTATAGTCTAGTCTATAGTCTAGTCTATAGTCTAGTCTATAGTCTAGTCTATAGTCTAGTCTATAGTCTAGTCTATAGTCTAGTCTATAGTCTAGTCTATAGTCTAGTCTATAGTCTAGTCTATAGTCTAGTCTATAGTCTAGTCTATAGTCTAGTCTATAGTCTAGTCTATAGTCTAGTCTATAGTCTAGTCTATAGTCTAGTCTATAGTCTAGTCTATAGTCTAGTCTATAGTCTAGTCTATAGTCTAGTCTATAGTCTAGTCTATAGTCTAGTCTATAGTCTAGTCTATAGTCTAGTCTATAGTCTAGTCTATAGTCTAGTCTATACTAGTCTATAGTCTAGTCTATAGTCTAGTCTATAGTCTAGTCTATAGTCTAGTCTATAGTCTAGTCCATAGTCTAGTCTATAGTCTAGTCTATAGTCTAGTCTATGGTCTAGTCTATAGTCTAGTCTATAGTCTAGTCTATAGTCTAGTCCATAGTCTAGTCTATAGTCTAGTCTATAGTCTAGTCTATAGTCTAGTCTATAGTCTAGTCTATAGTCTACTCTATAGTCTAGTCTATAGTCTAGTCCATAGCCTAGTCTAGTCCATAGTCTAGTCAATAGTCTAGTGTAAAGTTTAGTATATAGTATATATAGTTTATAGTGATCCCAAATTTGTTTCGAATATAGTTTAGGAACTATAAGCTATTTTTGTCCCGTTTAAACTAAATTTTTAATAAATATAATTTATTTTAATTTCAGGTGAGTTGTGCTCCATTTTCCTTTACAGTAAGTAAAAAAATATATATAAAATAATTAACATGTCTGAAAAAATTTTTAACCAATAGATTAAAATGATAAAATATTTTTAATTAAATTTTGTATTTACTTAAAAAGATATCCTATGTTACGTTTTTTTTGAAAAATTATTGATAAAAGTTAATTTAAAAAAATTTTCGCGAATATTCAAAGAATTCGTTTCCAATAAGCAGTAGCTGTATGCTTAAAAATAAAGCATATCTTAAGGCGATTATTGAAAAGAAGAAACTCTCTTTCTCTTTGTAAATATAGCCTTCTTAGTTTGGATTAGAGTAGATTAAAATATTTTGCCAGTCATGGGAATTCAAATTTGCAAAAATTCCTTTTAATTTCAAAAATCATCATCATTTTAAACACAAATCTTAAAATTAAACATTGATTTGCCCTGCCTTAGAAAAACCTTGAAAATGCATTAAAAGATTTCAATTCAAAAATAAAACAGAAACAAAATCCTCTAAATTATAATAAAACAAAACATACAAATAAATTCTTTAAATTAAGAAAAAAACACAAAAAAAAAGAGGAGCAAAATATTATATAAAATGAAAATAAATTTTAAACAAATAAAACCAAAAAATAAAAATCAATAACATAATGATTAAACAAGCAAGTAGTAAACACCAAGTTATAGATTTTTTTTTCTTAATTTTTTTTTTTATTTGAAATTCAACAGAAAAAGCTTATAAAACCCAACAGCACACAGTTGAGGAAATGATAAATAGTTTTTTAAACTAATCTGAAACCCAAATCAACCTTAAACTAAGTAGAGAGAGAGAAGACAAAATACAAATTTCAAAAAAACGTAACAATATACACACAACTGACAATAAACCCACTCAATAAGAAATAAAACAACAACTAAATCCTCAAATTAACAAAAAAAATCTACGAAAACAGCTAAATAATTCTTTCTATAATAAAAAAGGTGTGTTTTAATAAAAAAAAAAAAAAACACCAAAAAAAAGTCCAAAATAAAAAAACTTAAAAAATGTGATGAAAATATTAATATGACTCTTAAACTAAAGAAACTAAAACAAAAAAACTAATAAAGTTACGACAACTAAAATAAATTAATTTCAAAAGAACTGAATCGAGAAAAAAGAAGACTTAAAATGTGATGACAAGAGTTTTAATTTGATTTTTATATAAACCCTATCAGTCATAGATACACACATACTATTATGAAATTGTTCAATAAAATTATGTAACTGAAATATTTTTTTTTAACAAATTAAGAAATGTTTCTTTTGCGAACCAAGTTCGTTTAAAGAATGTACTACTGTCTCGAATATATATTGATCTATAGTCTGGACTATAGACTATTCCATAGTCTCGACTACCATTCCATAATCTCCACTATAGACTGTAGAGACCATATATAGTAGAGACTATAGACTGATCTATAGTCTCGACTATAGACTGTAGAGACCATATTCTATAAACTGGTCTATAGCCTCGACTGTAGACTTATCTATAGTCTTGACTACAGACTGAACTACAGTCTCGACTATAGACTGTAGAGACCATATTCTATAGACTGTAATATAGTTTCGACTAATGACTATTCTGTAGTCTCGACTATAAACCGATCTATAGTTTCGACTATAGACTGTTCTATAGTCTTGATTGTAGAATGATCTATAGTCTCGTCTATAAACTGATATATACTCTCGACTATAGATTGATCTATAGTTTCGACTATAGACTGAACTATAGTCTTGACTACGGACTGATCTACTGTCTCGAAGATAGTCTGATCTTTAGTCTCGACTATAGACTGAACTATAGTCTTGAACAAGGAATGATCTATACTCTCGACTAAAGACTGATCTGCAGTTAGGCTACTGATTGTTCTATAGTCTCGACTATAAACTGTTCTATAGTCTCAACTATAGACTGTTCTATAGTTTCGACTATAGACTGTTCTATAGTCTCGACTATAGACTGTTCTATAGTCTCGACTATAGACTGTTCTATAGTCTCGACTTTAGACTGTTCTATAGTCTAGACTATAAACTGTTCTATAGTCTCAACTATAGACTGTTCTATAGTCTCGACTATAGACTGTTCTATAGTATCGACTATAGAATGTTCTATAGTCTCGACTATAGACTGTTCTATCGTCTCGACTATAGACTGTTCTGTAGTATCGACTATAGACTGTTCTGTAGTCTCGACTATAGACTGTTCTATCTTCTCGACTATAGACTGTTCTGTAGTATCGACTATAGACTGTTCTATAGTCTCGACTATAGACTGTTCTAAAGTCTCGACTATAGACTGTTCTATAGTCTCGACTATAGACTGTTCTATAGTCTCGACTAAAGACTGTTTTATAGTCTCGACTATAGACTGTTCTATAGTCTCGACTTTAGACTGTTCTATAGTATCGACTATAGACTGTTCTATAGTCTCGACTATAGACTGTTCTGTAGTATCGACTATAGACTGTTCTATAGTCTCGACTATAGACTGTTCTATAGTCTCGACTATAGACTGTTCTATAGTCTCGACTATAGACTGTTCTATAGTCTCGACTATAGACTGTTCTATAGTCTCGACTATAGACTGTTCTATAGTCTCGACTATAGACTGTTCTATAGTCTCGACTATAGACTGTTCTATAGTCTCGACTATAGACTGTTCTATAGTCTCGACTATAGACTGTTCTATAGTCTCGACTATAGACTGTTCTATAGTCTCGACTATATACTATTCTATAGTCTCGACTATAGACTGTTATATAGTCTCGACTATAGACTGCTCTATAGTCTCGACTATAGACTGATCTATATATAGTTGACTATATAAAGATCTATAGCCTTATCTTTTGTCTCGACTATATACTGATCTATGGTCTCGATTATATATATGGCCTTGACTACAGATTTTTCTATAGTCTCGACAATGGATTGTTCTATAGTCTCGACTAAAGATTGTTCTATAGTCTCGACTATAGACTATTCTATAGTCTCGACTATAGACTATTCTATAGTCTCGACTATAGACGATTCTATAGTCTCGACTATAGACTGTTCTATAGTTTCGACTATAGACTATTCTATAGTCTCGACTATAGACTATTCTATAGTCTCGACTATAGACTATTCTATAGTCTCGACTATAGACTATTCTATAGTCTCGACTATAGACTATTCTATAGTCTCGACTATAGACTGACTGTTCTATAGACTCGACTATATATATTCACGACTATATAGTCTCGACTATAGATCGTTCTATTGTCTCAACTATAGACTATTCTACATTCTCCACTATAGAATGTTCTATAGTCTCGACTATAAGCTATTCTATAGTCTCGACTCGCTCTGGAGTCTCGACTATAGACTAGCCCATAGTCTTGACTGTAGATTACTCTAGCGTCTTGGTTTTGACTATACTCTGTCCTGCAGATTCGACTAAAAACTGTTCTACAAACGAAGCTGTTCATTACACTTCCTTTGGGCTCTATGATATACTATAGCATTGACTATACAGTGAACTGTATCTCCATAAGTCCATTACACCCACATTATTTAACAGATTCCCAGTTAACAAACACCTATAACAAAATCCCGATTTTAAAATAGTAATTTATTTTGCCAAGAAATACAATAATTATAATAAATTTAGATTTTATAAGAAACTAACTTTTGGAAAAAAATCAAATTTATTAAAGGCGTAGCTAAAATCATTAATATTCTTCAACTATTATGATCATTTTTTACAGAAATCCATATACAAGAGGTAAAGATTTTTATGTAAAATAGTTTTGTTATTTTGACAAATGTTACTATTTTTGATAAATACAAAGATTTACTACCCTTTATTTACGAGTTCCAACAGTTTTCAAATCCTACTTTAAACTGGTTACAAATGCTTTTGAAATATACCAAATGCAGCTGTTTAAATTCTTTCAATATGAATTTCTAGATTTTTAAGATATGTAATTTATGATTTATAAAGAGATTTGTGGGAAAGTGCAAAAAAAAAAAAAAAAAACAGAACTGAAACATAAAAGATTTAATTATAAATGAAACAGGCCACACTCGTCTATTTGTAATCATTCATCATCAGGAGATTTTTTTAAAACGACTACTAACCCCTAAAGTAGTTTTTTTATGTTTGGGATTTAATACAACCCCTTTTTTGTTAATACGTAATACTTTTAATTGTGTTAGATTTAATTCTGGGTTTTAGGTTTTTCTGCATTTGTTTCAATTATTTAAAAAAATTGCAGCCTGCAGTTTATATTATCTGAAAACCTCCACCTTGAATTGTTATCTCATGGAGTTTCATATTGCAATTTTCATTTCATTTATTTTTGGTCACGTACTGGAATTATTATTTGATTTTGACTGGATATAGAACTAGATGATTTATAAATAATAAAAAATCTAACAAAATACATTTGTTTTACTTAAAACATCTCTATAACTACGAAAAACTTACTGTTAATTGTAACAATCATTATTTTCAATGAATACTTTTGTTATATTAACGCAACAATGTTGCAACAAACAAACCTGAAAGAAATGTGTTTCTATTTAAAGCTTTTTATTTATAGATTTTTTACATTAAAAGACTTCTTTTCTTAATTTTTACTTTTACAGTTTAAAAAACAAAATTCCAAAAATTTTATACATTTTAATAAAAAATTTATGTAAACACTTTAATGTAAATAGTTTAAATATTTTTCCATTTATTAAACTATTCTTTTTTTGTAGCTTATTTTCAAACTAGTTTCTTTACTGGTTCTTAGATTTCATTAGGAATTTTTATTACTATTTTTTTTTTTCTAATCATTATTAAACAATTGTTTAATAAATTGTCTGTTGTATGTTGGAATGGTTGGTATCAAGTTAATTGCTTTAGTTTTGGGCGTTGACATATGAGTGTATTAAAAAAAAATTGTTTATATTAAAAGTTTTAAATTATTTTCAATTGTTTTTTTTTATTCTAAGAAAGGC